TTCAGGCGGTTGGCCAGGATCATCCGTGTGTTTCTGGACTGTGGGCCCCGACGCCCCCCGCCTTCCTCGTCCTTGTGCTCCTTCACTCGCTGCTCCCCGCTTGTTCTGCTCTGTGTTCTCATGTTGCCCCTTTGAACTGGATGGAGTATCTGCTTTTTGGGTTCAGTGGCAGTGGCAGCAGTTGTGTGCACTGAATGATTAAGTCATTTTCATATTTTTTTCTTTTCCTTTTTTTCTGTTTTTTTTTTTCCTCTTCATTTTTTTCCTCCTTTTTTCTTTTAATTATTAGTATTATCTAAATCAGATAAGCCAGCAAAGGAACTTCTTCAATAAGTTTTATGGTGGTTTTAACAGCGAGGCTGCTAGTCAGAATGCGTAGACCTGGATGTATTACCTTAAGAAGCAAATTCGCCTTGGGCTGCCAGTGGTTTTGCCAGCTGTGTTACTGTAGAGAAGGCCAGGAACTTGATGGGGAAAGCAAAAGCTGCTGCCTCTGCTGAAGCAACACGCTCCTCTGCAATACTTCTTAATACAAAAAGTGTTTCTTAAGCGCTTTTTGTATTAAGTGCTTTTGTATTAAGCGCTTCTTAATACAAAAATGTAGAGTTTAAAAGAGCATCGATGGCGGCCTCTCATGGAAACCAGCTCCCCCATGGAGGTGGGAGCAACAGGTTTCCAGGCCACGTTTTGCAGCATCCAGGCTCAGCCCAGGGCGGCCTCGCGAAGGCTGCTCCCCTGAGAGGGATGAGCCTGTGCAGAAGGAGGGAGCACGAGCCCTCCTGTGCGGCGCGGCCTTCGTGGTGACTTTGTGTTCTGATGCGCTGGTTAAAAAAAAAAGTTGCTTTGGCGGGTCCTGCATTAATGGGCAGCTAGTTCAGTTACGTGCACTGAGGTTTGCTATAGTTCTGCCACGTCCCTGTTTTAATCTGGGTATGATGAGGCTCTTGGCGCTCGGCTCAAGCACAGGCAGGCTGCAATGGAAGGGGGAAGGGGCAGCGAAGCCTCAGCTGGCACTGGGGGCCCCCCTTCACCCTTGTCCCCTGCTTTCTGGGCATAAAGGAGGGCCCAGAACCAGGTGTCCCTGTCACAAAATGCCGCCCAAGTGGTGGCTTGAACTAGGAAAAGAACAGCCAGGGGAAGTAAATGGGGTTTTTTGTTTGTTTTAATCAAAAAATCTCTGGATTTCAGACTTACAGGACTGTACTTGGGTGTGGTGCCAAAGCACTTGGGTTTAAGCAGCTACAGAAATACAAGTTGAACAGTTTCTCTTTGGTGTAAGGAAAAATTGATTTTTTTATGCCATGAGACTTGACTTGCCAGTGTAGCTCCTCTTTATTCCCAGTCTCTGAAGCTGCCGGTAGGAGCTGGTCACCTGTGACAGGACAGACGTGACTGCCCGATCCCAGCTGGCGGCTGCGTCTCCTTGGGTGGTTCGGCTGTGGATGGTTGTGGTTCTTTAGCAGTTACTGAGCAGTCGCAGGTGGGAGAGGGAACTCTGTCCTCACTTTCCGCCCTGGATTACAAGTTGTGGGATTGCTAGGGGAGCTGGACTGTCCAGGAGAGCCTCCCTCTGCTCTGAGGAGGAAGCAGTCCCCATGCATTCCCTGTGTGGCACAGTCCCCTTCTCTGAAATAAATATGCTTTGTCAAAAGAAATATTTTTCTAAGCATTTCTAGCTTAGTGTGAATTTATTTTTTTGCACTTTTTTGTCCCGAATTGGTCTTTTGGGAGCTTCTCTGCTGTTTTCCTGAAGTGTCCCAATACAGGTTGTAGCCACTCCTTATCCTGAGAAGCAGATTGAGACACATGGTGCTTAGTGGCCTGTCTGGTAAAAACCTGTTGGGGTGTCCACACCCCTATCTGGTGTCATAGGGTGCTCACAGATGAGGGTGTGCTTGGCCATCATTTGAAAAGGTGAGTGCTTTCTGCTGTGGATAACTGTAATTTGTTAAAAAATATAAAAATAAACTTTATGGTATTTTACATAGAAAAAGGAGGTTTTATTCCTCTGTCTTTATCTGACTTCTGAGTCACTCAACACTTGCATTTCTTCCTTCCTTTCAATGTTTCTGAAGTATTAATGGGGTCTTCCTGGCACTGCGGTGGATGCTTAAAAATATACATCAGCAAGGTGGTGATCTCTACAAGAAGTGGCCCTGTTAAATCGGGTGATAGGAGGAATAGCTGCATGAACAAGTTTCCCTTTATTATTATTATTATTGTTGTTAAGGAGTGATATTCTCTCTCCCTTAGATTAGACCATCACAGCTAGAGTGCTATTGCTGGGTCACAACCTATCCCAGGTAGGTGAAGTAGGAAAAACCCCAGTCTTTCCTCCAAGGTTTGTTGCAGCCCTGCTCCTCTGCAGTGTCCAGCAGGAAGTTACAGCCGCAGCACCAGGCAGGCCAGCGGGGCAGAGAGGACGCTGAGATTATTCAAAAGAAATAGCACTTTATAGATGAAAGGCCAAAACAGTCAGGTATGTACTAGTTTTGCTGAACTTTTGAGGAAAGGAGCAGTAGAAACAGATCCCGAGCCCACCTGTTTTTACCTGGGGCTGGTGTGTCAGAACAAAGGCTCCCCTCTCCCAGTGCCTGCTGATGACTCAGGGGCCCTGTTCTCAAAGGCCAGTTTTGTCTGATTTTGTTTCCTGACCTGGATGAGATGTTGCTGGAGGTTAGTGACAGCCTTACAGCCCCTTGGCCAGCCCCCCCAACCCATCTCCTTCCCTCAGCAGCGGTGCAGGAGCTGCTGGACTCCCCTCCATCTCCCCAGGGCACAGGCTCTTCTGCAGCCTCCCCTGAGACGGGTCTTCCCTCAGATAAGCTTTGTGTTAGAGCTGTCCTATGCAAAAGCAGATGTAACCCCCCTGCTACCCAGGACAATCCAGGAATCAGGCAAAAATCTCTTTAATGCAGTGACTGTGAAGTATTTCTGATTCAAATATTGCATTCTCTATACCCAGCATTTTCCCTCCGTCTCCTGTCACCTCAGAAAACTGTACCAAGCATTTACTATACCAAGCCGTGTGCACGTCTTCTACTTTGCCAAATATATCCAGGAGATTTTAAACACTTTATTTAATAAAAGTTAAACATACAAAACTGAAATTAACACACTTTGTATTCATAAAAATCACCTTCTTCCATTAATAGGAAGAACCTTTTTCTATATATGGATTCTAAACTACCAGTTGCAGATTTTAGCTTGAGTTGCGACTCAGGTAACTGATGGATATTCCCACCAATCAGTGCATCAACAATTGCTGACGTGACCTGATCTAGTTAACAAATTACAAAATGAGCTACATTAACATAATATACAGGGAAATAATGGTCAGGGTTAATGGACAAGAAACACTGTTCAATTACTTAATGGGATATACAGCTGATGTACTCTTGTCCATTAACTCAGCCCTAGGTTTTACAAAAATAATATCTACATTGTATACAGGGCTACCCATTAACTTCTTGTAGACACATTACGGATTCAGAGATGGCACCACTACCGTAAGTGAGAGACAAGTAACAAAGGAAAGCAAATCACATACATAAAGTACAAAAATGCAAGAGCTTTTACACGTGGTTTCCTGAATAAAATTGAAGGGGCTCAGCAGCACTTTAATACAGCTGAAATTACAATGAACACACTAGGGCCAGTCAATTATTTTTTAGGACAGAAACTTCAGACTAACCTTTACTTACTCACAACTAACTAAGTGGGATCTAGGCATTCATATCTGCCCTGCTTCAGCTCTACTTCACTGGATGGAGAAAGCCCAGACAAGACATTACTGCGCATTCCCGGGCTGTGACTGCACCATCAAACCTACAAGATCAAGATCTACAAGAGGTGAGACAAAAATTCACGTCCAAAGCATAATCATTAAGTCTTCCCATCTCTGATCCTTTTTCTTTCCTTTTTCTTTTTTTTTTTTTTAAAAGTACAGTTCTCTATTTTGAAATTGGACTCTAATTAACTTGTCCTATGGTTTTCTGGTTACATTTCAATAACCTCCTGTGAAAATTTTATGAGTATAAAAAAAGATACATCCTCTGTTTAACTTCTAGCACAGGAAATTCAGACTGGAATTAAAGTCAGATTTATTGTTTCTAGCACATGAATCATCATTAGTAATAAAGATGGTGGGCCCTGGTCTGCCCTCCTTTACAGCTGTACAAATCTATCATTTGCTGCATTTGTAAGGGAGTAATTTAGAGCTTCCTTAGCAATTCCATTTGATGTCCAGGCTAGGAAGGAGCCTGGCTCTCCCTCCTAGAGCTGCACCAGCTCTGCTCTATAATGCTAAATTTGTCACTGCGGGGAGTAGACAGGACCGTGACTACAGAAACAAGAGAGAGGCTGTAAAGGTGCCATTTTTATACCACCACTTCTCTTAGAGAAAGGGAAAAGAAACTGAAAAAAAGAAAACTTCACTACCAGTATGAGTGGAAGATGCTGGAGATTGAAGTTTCAGGTAACTACTGCTTTCAGAGTAACAGGTAACAGCAGTTAATGAAAGCATTTACCTGTGGAAAATATTTTAATGCAGCTACAAAAAGTTTAACAATTAGGGGAGTCAAATCAATACCTGGAGATTTAAGGCTCTTATCAGCTGAAGCCAAAGTGATGGTGACAAAATGGACTACTCACTATGTGCCAACAAATAATTTACTTTTAGAAAAATATAATGATAAAAAGATAAGTGTAAAGCCCTGCAGAGATGAAGTTTCACCATTTCCCCCCTGTTACTGAGGCATCAAATGCCTGACATTGTATTTAGAGGTATCTTGATACTGTGTCATGGGTTTGTCTGCAATTCCACACGTTCCAACTCCAACTTTGCCAGTTACGCTCTCAGGGGAAGCAAAAATACTCCTCTTCACCTGCAAGTGAAACAGAAGACAACGCCTCTAATTAATTACAAGCTTGCTTCTAAAAATTAGCCAATATTAATGTTTAAAAACTTTCAAAATCCTCAACATCTTCCTCTATAGCCAGGCAGGCTTTCTCAGGGCTAACTTATTCAGGGCATATTATCAGCAGGTGAGACAACAGAACTGAGAAGCTCCTGCACCCAAGCACTGGCTCTGATTGTAGCACTGTGGACTCTGCTTAGGCCAAGGGATCCATGATAATGAATTTACCTTCCTCATACATCAATCTGTGGCAACTGTTCAAGAGACCATGGTAAAACAAAGGAACATTTTAAAATGTCTTTGCTATTTTTTTTTTTTTTGCAATGTGTCTGCAGGGCAATTATTTAGTGTTGCATCTGCCACACCATGGCAAAGAGCTAGGTCTGTTGGTCCAGACAGGCTTCCAAAATCCAAGCCCCAACCAACACTGCCCTGCAACTCCAAGGGCAGACCCACTATTCCCAGGTAAGTGCAAGCTCAGACTCCTTAAGAAGGGAAAAAAAACCCTCCCCAGTTATGCAATGCAAAACTGGAGCTTTAGTGTGTAAAACACCAAACTGTACATTTCAAAATCTTGAAGGTGAACAGGTTACTTTTAAAACCACTTCCTCCTCTCTTCCAAGTCACTAGGCAGAATTCTGTATCTTGCTATTATACCCATATTGAAAAACACACAAACCTGGCCTTTTTTGTTTTTAGAATAGGCTCTGTTGTTGAATTGTTGCCACTTGACCTTCTGGTCCTCTCGTTCCTGTTCAAGTTCTTTAATTCTCTGAGCTTTTTTCAAAGCTTTCTTCTTTTTATACTCTCGTTGCTGGGCTATCATTTCTTTTCTGGAAGAAGGGAAAAGTCATTTTATGTTTGTGCTTTTTTTCCTTCTCATTAAGTAGTTTTAGAATTTACACAATTGTGTAAGAAACAAATTTCTACGACAGACATATACAATAATTTTCTCTAAGCAACAAATCAAGAGCTTGTAAATATTCTACACTTCTAGGAGAAAAAAGAAAAGTCTTCCCATGCATAGGCATACATTGATTTTTTTTTTTCTGGTAATAACAATGGAACCGATTAAGACATTGTTAAATGCAGCAAGACTTGGACTTGTAGAGAAATCATTTCTGAAACTGAGAATGTACCCATCAGCAACTCTAAATTGCAGAAGTGTTTGTCTTTGAAAAGGCACACAGTCCATTCAGTGAAACAGCCCCCATTTTTCAGGGAGTCCTGCTTGAGCACAACTTTTGTGCAAGATTTGCGCTAACAAGGAGTGGACAGGGAAGGAAAAAAGAAACTACAGCAGTGATAAGGGATTTCAAGGGGGCAAGCTCGGAACTCTGCATAGATCTGCTGCTTTTTCCAGAAGCTTTCAGGCCTGAAAAATACCTGGTTAGTGTCCTACTGTGTCTGAGGAAAGCACCTCTGTGCCCTGCAGGGTTTATCCCTCACACGGGTAAAGCAGAAGCACGAGCCCTTCACCCTGGCGAGCAGGTTCAGTTCTGAGCTAGACTGTAGATCTGGAAACAGGCTGCAAACAGCCACCAGCAGATCCGGGCTGAAATCCGTAGTCCTTCTGCTGTCAGCAGTACTGCAGTCTACCATTTATACACTGCATACCATAAAAGAGCATAACCTGAGTAAAATCAAATCTGGCATGTGAGACTCTCGGGATATGTAAGGAAATCCCTGCCACAATTATCCAAACATTATACGCCCCATGGGTTTAAGATTTTTTTTCCAAGATTTGAAGATAATAGAGAGGCATAATTTGTAAAAGAGATTTTTTTTTACATTTATGGAAAAAACAAAACAAAAAACTT